TCGGATCTGTCCTTGCCCGTAATCAGCAGCAGAACTGAGATCCTGAACTGGAATATTAATGCAAGTGCTCCATGGGAGATGGAAGCCTCTCAAAACCTCTCTCAAATTATGAGAATTAAACATTAGAAGAACAGCACAGCAAACTGCAATGCAATGTCGGGAGGAGTCTGCTGAAGGAGGAGGTTGAGAAATTCGGTGAAGTCACTGCCTCCTGGGAGTGCCCAGGACCCCAGACACCATGGGCCAGGTATCCTTCTAAACCTGGGGGCGATCCCTGTTTCTCCTGTAAAAGAATAACTGAATTTTTAATCCTGCGTTGATCAGGTGCATCCGCTCTGCTTAATGAAACCCGGTACTTGGGGACAGGAGAGAAATTGCTTATCGTGACAGTTGTATTTTGTTACTCAGTATAACTACTGTTAAGTTTTGGGGGCAGCGAAGTGCCTCTGACACTTCTTTTCAATGAGGTACGAAGGGTTTGGGGTGTTCAGCTTGAGATACAGCGCTGAAAACAAGCAGGTCTTCCTGGAAATAATGCTGATGGGGAACACCTAATAACGAGAAGGGGACAGATCCAGGACACCGCTTGCTGCTGAAGCCTTCAGCAGAAGAGGGGCATGGCCACACGTGATCACCCTGAGGAATATACTGCAGGCGTCAGGCAGGTCTTTTAAGAAGCATTTTGTTCTCTCTATTTTTTTCCCCTCCACCCCACATTTGGCCGCAGGGGTTACAAAGCAACAGAGCCCCTCCGTGGCACTGAGCTGCCGCAGGGATGAACCAGCCTCACACTGGGAGAAAGTCCACAGCCAGATTGCCACTTTGCTGAATGGGAATGCATCGTACTCCCTCCAGGCTTCTTACCGAGGCCTGATGGGGGCACTCGGGTCATTCGTGTACATCCCACCCCATGTTAGCGAGCAGCACCCCAAGGCAGGGATGTGCTTCCTGCACGTTCTCTATCAGGGCCCATGAGAGTGAAGGAAAAACAAGGGCCTCAGAATTCACTTGGTAAGCGAGCCACAGGGCAGAGAGCGACTGCAGCTGCGACCCTGGAGCGCTCTGCATCTCCTCCCGCTCTGCATCTCCTCCCGCTCTGCCCTGCCAAGCCAAGGTCCTGCTTCCCGCCCCACTCCGTCGCACAACGGCCTATTGCCTCCGCCAAGGAGAACGGGATTAATTCACAACAACCCAAGAGCGATCCTTTGGTGCTTGACTACTGATGAAAAGGGCGAAGTCTTTTTTTAACCTTTGAAATGAAATTACCCCCTGTTAAAACTAATGATCTACTTTTTTCTGTTATTACCGTTCAAAAGCTCATCTGCCATAGTATTTTTAGCAAAACATCTTTGTAACCAGCATGTCAGTAACGTATCTTAATTTTTCTGTACACCTGACTGATACAGAGCAACAATTGCACATGAAATTGCAGATCATCGATGTCTACAGCTGCCATCAGAACAATAAAACACGATAAGGAAGGGCTCTATTTTTCCCTGTCACTCACATGACGGATCTCCTTCATTAACTAGTTTGCTGGCAGACAAAATGAACGAATGAGAGAGAAATTGGCTTTCCTTGTTATTAGCATCTCTACTGTTTTCTTATATATCAGGTGAATTTAATGTTAATGAAAGCAAGGATTAAGAACCTGGATTGCTGGAAGGTGGGAGGACAGAAGAGGCTGACAAGAAGCTCCGTAAGGAGCTCAGCTGCACCGGGCCACGGCTGGGACTGGAGACCCGATGCTGCAGGAGGGCAAAGCGCTGGCAGGGACAGGGGCCAGGCAGCTCCCCCCTCCCCCTTGGGGCAGCGGTGCCCCCTCGACATCACCACTTGGCGGGACCCTGGGAGGGTTCCCTGGAAGTCTGTGCAACGTGGGGCGGGGGGCAAAGGGCAACCTGGTGCTGGGGCTCACCCAAAAGGCTGACGAAGCCCCTGACTCGGGTGGCAG